TTTTTTTTTTATGTGATACTGCACTAATAATCTGGAGTGTTTTAGATATAATCTATTTGCTGATATATTAAAAATTTCTAAACTGTTATTTGGTGAAAGTAATGTTAGAGCTTCCAACTCTAAATTCTGATTCAAAGCCTTTGTAAAATAGCTGGTTGAATTTGCTGTTTATGTATCTATTAAGTTGTAACGCTGCTTGAGCTGTCGTAGAAACAGTGTGTGGTTATTTGTTTGAGACTTTATTTAATGTTTCTTAATTTCTCCAACATGTAAATAAGGTAAAGCAGCCCTGCCCACTGCAAATTTATCTACCATATAAACAGTATAGCAAAATCACTGGTCGACACCCTGATTCTCTGAAAAACACTTGTGAAAATACTGATAAAATTACATGATTTGATTTGACGGTCCCTTTTATCTTGCTCAAAATTGTTAACATTAAGTTATCATCATCTTACTTTTCATTCCATAACTCTTAGGGATTTGCAACAGGATTTTTAAGACTACTTAAAATATAGCGTAGAACTAATTTCACCATGTTGCATCGTACTCGTCTTTTCTGTGGGCTCAGAACTACTGAATAATGGAGCAGATCTCTTCAAATGGACTTCCTCATTCTCTGCTTGCCTTCTCTTGTATAGAAGCTGAAAGAGCTGATAAAGAGTTAGAAATGTTGCCAGCTCCTTCTTAGCCTCTCATTTTCCAGCCCAAAAGCTCTGGTTTAGTCCTGTCTGAGCACAAACCTGATTTTGTTTCAACACTCAGGGGCACAAGTGCCCAGCAGCCCTAAAACAGCTTTAACTGTTACTCTCCTAATGGCAAATAAACCGTAAAGGGACGTTTTTGTTTCTTTTTATTTGCCAGCTGCTGTCACAGCCAGTAACACTTTAATCTATTGGTCACATTACCCTTTGCTTGGTTGAAACTGCTTGGTCATCTAATGTTTTTCTTTGGTCCTCTTCCTCTCGTTCTGCTTTTCCTTTGTTTTAAATAATGCATTACTGGCTTGACCGAACCTACAATCACTAGCACATGCCGGTGTATAAACACTTTTTTTTTTTTAGGAGCATGTGACTTGTGCATGAAAAAAAGGGAAGCCCCGCAGCCACCATCGGATTGGACAATCGCGTATGGGATGGACCAACATCAAGCCTGCTTAAAAGGAATACAAAGCTGTCTTACGCGCTCGCGCTCTCTCTCTCTCAAGACCTTTGGCTTTCACCTTGGTGAGCGCGACAAAGCGCTCCCATGCCGTAACATCGCACAAGCGAGACTCCAGAACTCAAACACTTCAGTTGACACTTCGCGATCTTCAAAGAACTTAAAGTCTTGCAAACTCAGACTTTTAGCAGAGCTGCTCAAGCCTCTACGTCATCAAGAAAGCAACCAATCCAACGAGGGCTTCCCCAAAAGGACGTCATCCAAACGTCATTCCGGCGCCAGATCAACAGCCAATCAGCAAAGGAATCCTCTCCAGTAGCCACGAGGAACGACTCAGCTTTTCAGCTGTCACCCAAAGCAAAACGCAAGTAAACGAACAATATCTTCTATCTGCTGACCTGATGCTGATGATTGATTTAAGCAGTAAACTTAAGACAAACCGCTGCTTTGTGTTTCTCCCAGGCTGAATTTAAAACCACTTGTGAAAACGAGTTAGAACTTAGAAAACTTCATGCAACTCCGTTAACTCATTTCCTTGAATCTTTGTGTGTATGTATGTGTATGTTTTAGCTTAGTTTTAATGTAATCTAGAATAGCCAATAAAATTCGTGTTTCATTTATAAAGAATCATTGTCTGGTGTCATATAACTTTCAAGTCAAACCTTGCCAAAGATCACGTTACCTCGCTGAGAGCTTACAAATTATCATAATTGTATTGACCTGTGGCCAGGGAAAATACACACAGTCGGATTAAGATACACGAACATTAACGTTTCGCTGGACGACCGTTGATAAGGTGTAAACTATTAAGATTTGAAATCAGTTCTAATCGGGTGGACCTCAAATTTTCAGATCGAGTTCTTTCAAACCCTGAATTAATAAAATGAATGATTAATTCCCTTATCAAGAATTAATGAGTTCAATTCCTTACAAAGTTCTCCAAAATTTCTTGGTAAACGGGTGCAGTGACTTTGGTTTTCAAAAAACACAATGGACCAACACCAGCAGATAACATTGCACCCCAAATCATCACAGACTGTGGAAACTTAACACTGGACTTCAAGCAACTTGGGCTATGAGCTTCTCCACCCTTCCTCCAGACTCTAGGACCTTGGTTTCCAAATGAAATACAAAACTTGCTCTCATCTGAAAAAAGGACTTTGGACCACTGGGCAACAGTCCAGTTCTTCTTCTCCTTAGCCCAGGTAAGACGCCTCTGACGTTGTCTGTGGTTCAGGAGTGGCTTAACAAGAGGAATACGACAACTGTAGCCAAATTCCTTGACACATCTGTGTGTGGTGGCTCTTGATGCCTTGACCCCAGCCTCAGTCCATTCCTTGTGAAGTTCACTCAAATTCTTGAATCGATTTTGCTTGACAATCCTCATAAGGCTGCGGTTCTCTCAGTTGGTTGTGCATCTTTTTCTTCCCCACTTTTTACTTCCACTCAACTTTCTGTTAACATGCTTGGATACAGCACTCTGTGAACAGCCAGCTTCTTTGACAATGAATGTTTGTGGCTTACCCTCCTTGTGAAGTGTCAATGATTGTCTTCTGGACAACTGTCAGATCAGCAGTCTTCCCCATGATTGTGTAGCCTAGTGAACCAAACTGAGAGACCATCTTGAAGGCTCAGGAAACCTTTGCAGGTGTTTTGAGTTGATTAGCTGATTGGCATGTCACCATATTCTAATTTGTTGAGAGAGTGAATTGGAGGGTTTTTGTTAAATGTGAGCCAAAATCATCACAATTAAAAGAACCAAAGACTTAAACGACTTTAGACTGTGTGCATTGAATTTATTTAATACACGAGTTTCACAATTTGAATTGAATTACTGAAATAAATGAACTTTTCCACGACATTCTAATTTATTGAGATGCACCTGTATATTTCAAATAAATGCTTTTCTTTTTAACTTTGTATTCATGAAAGGATAATAAGAAATAAAAATAGAAATAGTTTTTCAAATCGTAATCTTATTTTACTATATAACTGTTTTTATGGTATTTTTAATTAAATTAATTCAACCTTGGTAAGCAACAGACCTCTTTCAAAAACGTAAAAAAAAAAAAAACTGACCAACTCCAAACTTTTGAATGTTAATGTATATGAATGTACAAGATTTGCTTAAAACCACCTCATTCAGGCAGTCAACCATTTACTAATTGTACCAGGTTTCTCTCAATGTAACACAGTGAACTCTACAGCTAATGAACAGAGCTAATGATTGTTGAGATGGCATGTTCCTTGTGACTTGTTTATACTGTACACTGTCATTTTCCTCTTTGTATTGTTTCACACCTTGACATTCTTCTACAGTGGTTTAACTTCCAAATCTGTCAAAGCCAAGCTACTCTTGGACCAACTGTGCACATTGCGTGGAGAGGTAAGGCCAAATCCAACATTTCATGACCACTTATTGTCTTCTGGACAGATATTTACCCTCTCCCACAGAGATTCAGCCAAAGCTGTCAAAGTCCTCTTTGACTGGTAGTTGGAAATTGATAACTTGCATCCAACAACATATTTCCTAGAGCTGGAACACTGGGGCGACAATGACAAAAAGTGTTTCCTGTTGCAGGTGGGAGCTTTGTTTTCTCTGTCCTGTGTGATAAGCACTGAGACTTTCCCAGCGGCCTCCCAGCTCAGCTCCTGCAAATGGAGAGACTTCATGTCCAAACGCCCCAAGGACATACCTGGTATGAGCAACGTTTAATAAAACAGCTTTATGCTTTTGTTCTAAAGGCTGGTAATATGTATAATTGGACCATGCTCGTGTGAATGTGCCGCCTGGCACTCACATCACGAGTTGTAAATTATATGCTGACATTCATACGCTGAAGTTGCCTACTTTTATTTCCATGTATTTGTTAGCATGCTATTAACTCTTCATCCCTGCAGTGCCTGATGTGGAGGTAAAAGGTGAGAGAGGCCACTACCTCTTCTTGGTGCAGGGGGCGGAGTCTGGAAGCTGCACAGCGCAAATGATACACACGGCCCATCAGATCAATGGTCCCGCTGCCCTGGCTACGCTTAATGCCCTCATCAGGGAAAAAGTTCCGCCTTCCTCAGGTATGATCACCAATCATTTACGTGCGCAGTTGATGGTGGCATGAATATGCACAGATGCAACAGTTTGCCTAGAGCTGGATATTTGAGCATAGTCATTAATCAGTGTGTACCGTTGGATTGAGAGGACTAATACAGTTCTTCTAAAGTATGTTGAACCCTGTGGCGTTCCAGAACTGCATTTATTAGAGTCAGATTAAATCCATACAACAGTCTCATCTATCATAGCAGTAGCTGAGACCACCTGGATGTCACCAAGATGACGCAGAGGGGACAATATACTCTACTTAGTCCAGAATTGCACAGTCCTGAGCTTCATAAATGTGGAACTTGCCGTTTTTTTTCTAGTTAAAATGAATGTGAAAACACTGGATTGGAAATACTGTAGCACAGTCCCAGACTTGTAAATCACGTTTTCCTTATAAACACAAGGAAACCACTGTGCTCCTTTCAGCAGACTTCATCAGGGTAAATGTTTTAAACCCATTTTTTGTTGACAGAGCAACTGAGAACATTTAGTCCTGGACAAATTTCCAAGTAAACAATCTCTGGAATATGATAAAGATATTGGACATCTCTTTCTCCTCCTAAAATAGATTTTCGCCTTGTTTTTTTTGTTTTTTTTACCCAGAAATGAAATACAGAAAATGTGGTTTTCTTCTTTAACACTGATGAATAGAATAAGAAGATACAAACTCATTTTCATTTTCATTATTCAAAATTCTTATTTCATTAATAATCATAAAAATGATATTCAGCTTGTTATTTAATGTATATACAGTGCTGTGAAAAGGTTTTTGCCCCCTTCCTGTTTTTTAAATTTTTTGCATATTTGTCACACTTAAAAGATTCAGATCATCAAACAAATGTTAATATTACACAAAGATAATGCAAGTAAATACAAAATGCAGTTTTTAAATGATGATTTCATTTATTAAGGGAAAAAAGCTGTCCAAACCTATGTGGCCCTACGTGAAAAATCAATTGCCCCCTCCTGTTAAATAATGAAAGAACTACAATTAATCACATTATTTTAGAAAGCGGAGTTAAACTTCACTAGCCACACTCAGACCTGATTACTGCCAGACCTGTTGAATCAAGAAATCACTTAAACAGAACCTGTCTGACAAAGTGAAGCATGCTTAAAGAGCAACACATCATGCCGCGATCTAAAGAAATTCAAGAACAGATGAGAAACA